TAGCGACGGCGTTCCACCGCGCTGCGCTGGGGCTCCAGACTGGGGCGTGCCTCGGCGCGTTCGATGCAACGGCCGGTTGGGGCCGACTCGACGCTGGGCTGTTGGTTGTCTTGATTCAAAAAATGTCGGTCAGACCCTTCAGGTTTACATTTGCTTTTCTCAGCCTCCTCAAACCCGGGTGTTTTCAATTTTCCGCCCTAGGCTCCAGCAAACTGCAAGACCTTGATCGCAAACTTCGAGTCTCAGCGCCGGGCAGTTGAACATCTCGGTGTCCACCGCTTCTGGCAGAATCTGCCAGGTGCGGCGAGGGGAAAAAGGATGCATTGAACAATTGTGCCACATATCCACATGAGCAGCTGGCGAAACTCAGTGGTTCATCCAAAAGGAGATTCATGTGTGGGCATCGTGTTTTATTGCCGAACCTATCTTGCACAAAGGTTCGTTGAGCTTCACACTTGGTCATGCACGGCAGGGCTTCGTGACTTCAAGCACCTTGTCCCAGGCAGGGCATGATACACGCGCACACGGGGCATTCACCATTCATTCTCTAAGTCGGCCGAGGTACAAACGACATTGACTGATCAGTGAGCCACAAGTTCAATGTCTGATCGTCACAACCCCTGTGCGCAAGCCCCCCCCCCGGACCCCCGCCGGGCGTCACCCCCCATAGAACCCTGCTCAGTGAGAAGGGCGTCACCCCCTTTTCCGCACCCTGAAACCCCCCTGCTCAGTGAGGAGGACGTTCGAAAAGGAATCCATGCTTCCAGCCTTCCAGGCTCGTTCCCTCACTAACTTGGAACAGGGCCACCCGCTCGCTCGAAACAGGACTGAGCCTTGATCTTCTCCTGGCAGCCAACAGCAGAAAGGGGGAGGCAGTCAGCGGCTGTTTGGGGGAGCCTGGGACCTGCAACTGCGCGCGTTTTGGCAGGGACTGCGCCTATTCTACGAATGAGTTCCGCGGAAATGTTGGATAAAATCAGGTGCAAAAGAATTCAGTAGATATGAATCCGCTTCTTGCTGGGGACAAACTTTGGATAGAAGTAGAAGTGCAGGACTTTCTACCCGCATGGAGGCCTGAGGAAGCCTTGGGGGGGGGGGTATCGAATCAATTCTTCCAGCCCAAACTATTCTTGGTGCTCAGGGAATGATTCCGGGTGTTGGGAATGGACCTGGGGATACCCTTAAAGAAAACCACAAGGGATTGTTTAGGGGTCATTCCCTCATTCCTGCTGAGCACCAGCAGGCCTTGATAGAATCAATAAGTGGACATTCAGCCCTGATGCCTTGCTTCAAGCAGAAATTACAGCCAGCTAAAGCCAGCTTTCGTGCAGTTTCCAGTGACTGAACTGTCGCATGGTTCTCGCATCCGAGGTGTTGAGCCCTTCCCCTCGTGCTGGGGTTCGGCAATTTTTGGGCCGATGCCCATGAATGGGATTCGATCACCCCGCCCCTCTTCCATATTGGGCGTGGGTGTTTGCTGTGTTCTTCTTTGTTTTTCCCATTCGACGCCAAAACAAATTCCCCCGCACTGAGGCAGGACGTTGCCGATCCCGCAACGCGGTCCAGAAAAAGCGACTCCGCACAAAACCTCTTGGGCCCATGCACGCAAGCGACGACCAAAAAAACACCCCTTACAACGGGGCATCCTCCAAGTCAGCCAGCAAACCCTTCAGCCTCACGATCGGCAACAACTGGCCTTGGTCTGCGGAAAAGGCCAAGTTGCGTACTTGAAATCAGAGGCTCGGCCCTTTGCACGGGCCCGCCCGATCCTTGGCGACCCCCGAGGCCAAAAATGCTTCCTGGCCTCGCGCGGGGCGAGCTGGGGGCTGGGGTTGGTTTGGAGCCATGGTAGGGGCAGGGCCCCTGAAATCAACAGAAAAACGAGAAAACCAAGAACCTGCTTCGAAGTTAGACAGATCTGCGGTGTCAGCAACAACCGCCCAGCGCACTATCCCATCATGCCATCTCTTTCCCTTTGAACTCCCAGAATCTCCTAGATGTAGAGACAACGTCACCAGTTTGGGTGCTGAATAGGGTGTGATCCAACGATCCACACCTTTTTGACTTCATAATTGTTGTCTACTCAGCAGCCAGCAAAAACAGTCGGCACGATCCGAGTCTCTGCTTTCTTCTCCCAACTGAAACACCCCATTTCTCCAGGCCCTTTGCCTGTCCCAAACCGATTTCAGCGACATCCGGATGGGCGCGGGCAGCTCTCCCTCTTCCCTCCCGGGTCTGCGATCTGGAGCTCAACGCGAAATAGTCATTGGGGCCCGGGCTTTGTGACGAGGGCACCTCAGCCATCACCATCAAAAGCCCAGCTTCCAACCTTCCACTTCCTGCATGTGGTCAACATGCGGGCCTCGGAACAAGGCGAATACACCTTGGTTCTCCTGCACGACTCATGTTTGGCAACACTACCAGCGTCCGACACAAGTGGCAATTGGAAAGAAGCACTGCCAGCCAAAAATGGCCCGCCTGCAGGCTCAGTCATACATTGCACTGCCCTCGAAAGCGTGAACTGCTGAGATACCACCAGCCAGCCCCTTCCTAATGGCGAACTCGCCACTTCGAGGAGGAATTCGCCCGAAATTTCCACAAAAGATTCAAGCCCCTCAGCCCCGAATTCTTTTGCCAGCTCCACCCGAGGAATGCGCCCACACCGCATCGAAGCGGCTGCACTGCCTGAGTCGCTTCCAGCTGACTTGGCTGACTGGCTGCCTAGAAAGCCAGCTACCTGTCCAAAAGAGAAATGCGTAATAGCCGGAAGCATGTTTTTGGGCAACCACCCATGCGATTGCAAAGCTGGGTCAGGTGCGATGCGCACGAAGCCAAGACATGCCGAGACAAGTCGGTTCTTGTGCAAGGGGCAAAGGGACTGATCGGAATGAACAACGGCATTCCCACATGGACAGCGGCGCCGCATAAGGAAAAAACACAATGACTTATGCTTGTGGCTAGTCACCCGGGGCCTTTTTGCCAGGCCCTATCCCAGTCTGGGGTCTAACACGCGCATGGCAAAAAATGGCTCACGCCTCACTAGGCACCATCCAAAGCCACAACTCAAAATCGCACCATCCAAAGCCCCAAAGCAACCACTAGGGACCCCTGCTCCGCGAGCCCCTCCTCGATCTTATCTTGCCTTGGCCAAGAGTCCACTGATGAGCAGCACACGCCGAGAAGGCAAACCAAGCCCACAGAGCGTGCGGGGGTTGACGGTATGTTGCAACTATGGTAACGTTTGCGGCTGGGAGCTTCGTGCTACTGCGTGAACCCCAGTTTATATAACTGGGGTGGGGTGCACAGAGAATATGCTCGGACTCTGTTCCATATCCAGCCTAGTTTGGGAGACGCAGACAGCTTGCACTGCCAGACTTCTAGCTTGGCTTAATACCACGCGAGCGACTACGTTGCCGAAACCCCCCCTTTCCGTTGTGTACTAAACGAGGCTCGGCAAATCTGTCGGACCTGTCATGGCATCAGCCATGGTTCAACCCAGCAGTTCCATCCCTTTGGTTCGCTTTCAGTACCACAAGGGGCTCCCAGGCCTTTCGCCCATCCCTTTTTGGGGGGGTCCAACGGCCAAACATCCTCCTTCACTACCAGTGGCAGACAGAAAGTGCCCTATGTGAGTTATAGAGTTACAGCGTGGCACTCTGATAACTGTTGAGGGGAGGAGTCCTCCAACCAGGAACTTCTCTCCGGAAATGGCACCTGATTCTCTCTCCCTCCTCTCATTCTCGAGCAGGCCTCGCTCGTTCAGTATCGAACGCGCCCGTCGTCAGGGGTCCCTGGTTGTCTTTTGGGCGTTCGGAATTTGCAGCTCGCCGCTGAGCTTGGAACTCCACCATGCTCCGGCTCACCAGCACCAGCCTGCCACTGCCAGAAGACACTCTCAAAAGCACAGCTTCCACTTTTTGAGTCTGTGGAAACTTAGCTTCTACCTTAGGTCTGTAAAGAAATTGGGAGGTTCTACAACTGCTGTGGGGCTTTCGCCGTGCAGCTTTTTGTTTGTTCAACCCCAGGAAACGGGGGCACAAACTAAGCACAGCCCGGCTCAGCATCCAGGCTGATTGCAATGCATGCTTCGGTCTGAAGTTGCTTGTCACTTGTTCCATGCCGCTGGTGTCAACCCCTGATTCATGAACCCCTCCACTCATTCAAGGGGGTCCCTGCTCAGGAAAATTCATCAAGGGGTCAGCAGTACTTTTCCCTGCTGGTTGCACCACGCTAGCCACATTCGTTGCTGGTTCGGCAAGCCGCCCAGCCCAGCGCTCACATATCACCAAGGCTTGGGACCAAGAAACGAGTTCCATGTGTCGCAGTGCCCCACCGTCTGAGGCTCCGAGCCCTTTCCTGCCAGCCTTGCCCTGTCAAGAAATGCCGCCGCGCATGGGACAAGACGAAGACTAGCTTTCAGAACTCCCGGCAACAGCCTGAAAGAAGCTGTGCTTGGCCTGAGCGTGTTTGCCCCTTTGTACCTTCAAACCCTTAACTGCACAAGGGAAACAGTAAGACGGCCTGACAGCCCAGGAAAAGTCAAGTGGCGGCCGTTGCTTGCGTCGCTGTGATCTCAGCCTCGTGCCTTTTGATGCCCCCCGGTGAACATCCTAATCTCCTCTAAAATAGGTTCTAAAATGGGTGGTGCACCTGCCCCAGAATTGCACCATTGGTTTTGACCCACAGCCACCTAAATTCCTCCGCCAGCTCGCTCCTTTTCGGCCGCTCCGCGGCTCACACTTCTTCTCAGCTTACACGGTGAAAACAGCGCGCTCTTGCCGCCCCCGGCATCGGGGCAGCACAGGCATTCCCAGCGGAAGCCCAGGGAGAAGTGCCATCGAGCACGTGCACCACATGAGGCTACCTTTTGGTTGCTGCTTCGTCGTTCCCCGTAAACGAAAAACCTATCCAAAAGACAACCAGGAATCAACTTCGGGTCCCACCACATGAGGCTGCCTTTTGGTTGTTCCTCCTCCAAGAGAAAAATTAGGAGAAAACCTGGGGTCCAGGGCTGTCACCAAAGCCATCTCTGGAGCTCCCTTGGCCATCCGCTAATTCTGAAAGGGCTGCATCGGCCAGGCCTCACCAGCGAAGCGAACCAGAGATGGCGAGATGGCAGGGGAGGCGGTCAGTTTCCTGTTACGGCCTTTCAGCTTTCTATGAGCCTTCTGCTACACGTGTCAAAACGAAACTTGGACCAAGGGTCGACTTCCGGCTGCGCCTCACGCCTCACACTTGAAGCCTAAGGAAATCGAACAGGGGAACCCCTTAGTCCGCGCCAATCGATAAGTCCGGCTTGGGACCACCCCAGCCCATCCGCCAACCTGCCTTGTCCTGCTCAGACATCAGCGCAAGGCCTCAGCGTGACCGTGTGAAGTGTCCAGAATCGACTGCTAGATGCCGGGGTCCGATGAAACTCCTTCACAGGTCCATGAACCCCCCAGGCCTGCTAGAGGCAAGCCAGGCATTCTATGGGTTTGCGATCACCCGAAAATGATGTTTGATGCGTCCCCCCTTTGACCACCAGCCCACCAATGGCAACCTCCAAAAATGACGCTATATCTCCGAGGGGCCGAAGGCGCCTGTGAGCACGGCGCTCTTCGTGAGAGGCGCATCCGACATCAAGCGACCCGCCGGGAAGGCGTAGACCTCGGGGGAGAGGGTGAACGCCATTTTCGGGGTGGGTCCTTGGGCCCTCTGGGATGAATTAAATGGGACGTCCAAGCCCTTCCAGCTACTTGCCACGCTCTGAGCTGCCCCGCCACGCCGGCCGCCTGGCAGGAAAGCGGGCGCGGGTGGCAGTCCGGCAATTGGAGGGGTTTCTGGCAGGCCGGAAGTCCTTCTTTATCAATGTTCTGACCCTTGATTGAGGATTCCCAAGGGCAGGCGAGCTATGCTTACAAGGCCCCGATCAAAAAGACGAAGTTGAGAGAACTCCGTGGCTCGCACCCGGGGGCAAAACGCTTGAAAAGCTGCGTTGCCCGACAATGCAAAGTGCGAAAGCGAGGCCTTGCCATAGAAAACCGAAAGCACAAGCTAGGTCCTCCAGTAGAGTAGGGGAACCCTCCCCAAAAAAAGGTAAAAGGGCACTACTGGGGGACCTAGCAAGTCTTTTAACCCAAAAGCGACCTCCTCAAGATTCAAGATCCTCTCATCTCAGATTTTACTTCCAAGTCACGGGAGCCGACCTTTCAAGCCAACGAACCATAGGCGACCCGTGGGGGAGTTGCACTCGCCTACTACTCCGCCAGCTGCCCCTGCCAACCTCAATCCAAGGAACCTTTGCAACAAATTACCGAACAATCAACTATGCTGGTTCTCAGCGAGTCGGGGAATGAACCAGTTTCTTCGAGGGAACCCCTAAATCCCCAAGTTCCTTCCCAGAATCAGATCTCGGCATCGCCAAACTCAGATCTATAACTCTCGGGGACTCCTCTCTCATCTCAGCCTCGTCAGCCACGAAGACGGTCTGGTCCCCGTCCCAGACCAGACCCCTGGGCGTGGAGAGGCCGCCCACCAAGTCGAAGCTGACGCCCCCCTCGGTGACCTCAGGCAAGCGAAGCACCGAAGCGCGCACCCGTTCGGCGTTGCCGGGTGCGTGAAACCAGGGGCGACCAAGAGGGGCCCTTGAAAAATCACGGGGATGCCTGCAACCCACACAAGGGGTTATGAATCATGAAACCAACGCAAGGGTTGCATGAAGCCTGCAAAAGAGGGTGGCATAAGAGTGATGTTGTCAGGGCCATTTAGACTGGTTCGCGTACATGCGTCGCCCTGCAAGACCAAGCTTCTCACGGATTGGTACAGGCTGGCGATGGACAGTGTCTGACTGTAAAGGGTAAAATGAAGAGCAGAACCCCTCCAAGTGAAGACGCGAGACCCCGTAGACCACGCCCACACCCTCGTTCACAGAGCTGAGGAAGACGTACTTGCTAGACCTGAGGATGGTGGAGGCCCATCAAAACAGGAAAAGGCAGGTGCCTTAAAAAGACCTGCGAAAAACTCGAGCCATACATACTGGCACTTGTATGTTTGTATGTATGTGTGTATGTTTGCATGGTTGTATGTTTGTATGTGTGTATGCGTGTATGCTTGTATGTTTGTATGCTTGTATGCTTGTATGTTTGTATGCTTGTATGTACAGCTTGAGGTGTCCAACCAGTTGCCTAAATGACCTTTTAATGACTTCACCTGCTGCGAGCGCAACATGTTGCCCCACATGTGGCACGCCTCGAACACAAGACCCTAAAAGACAAGCATTCACACATCAGCTCGCTCAATCACTGAAGTCAAAGGTTCAACCAACAGTTCAACCGCGTGTCCACTCGGCCCTGCACTTGGTGACGCCGTAGCCTGCAGAGGACCTGAGGCCATCGTCTACCAAGGGTTTGATTTGTAGACAAAGGCAGGCAACCCCAATGGAAGGCCAGATGATTTTGCAAACGTTCATTCAGCCATAGGTCAAAACCTGACACGAAGACTCCAACAGCTCATGAATCACACCACGGTAAAACGAAGCCACTCCGCCTGGCAAAAATGTGGAGACCGACACAGTTAAACTCAAGCAGGCAGGCAAGCAATCTGTCAGGCAGGAGGCAACAAGCAAACAAGCAAAAAACGACTTAACCAAAAAAGCTAGTGCCACGGGTGGGCCGAAAGCAAAATGCAAAGTGAGCGTTGGTTTCACGCGTGCGCGCTTGCTTCCCTCTTCATGGGCAAGTGGCGGCTGCAGATTTGTATAGCCCGTCACGCGGCTCCGAGGCAAAATTGATGTAAATGGCTGCTCAACAATCTCTGCATAGACTGCCCAGACACTTCCATGCCAGAGCTTTGCCCTACACGTGTTTACGCATGTCCTTCTGCGACTGGTAAGCTTCAGTGCTCGGCGCGAGTGTTGCAAGTTGCTGTGCGTGTGAAAGCGATCCGTGAAGTTGCGCTGCGCAAGCGCTCTGCGCAGCACACTAAGCGTGCTGCGCAAGTGTGCTGCGCACGCTCGGAACAAGTTTCTATGAGCAAGTTCTCTGAGCAAGTTCTCTGCGCGCAGCGCTGGCCACAACACAGTTACCTTCCCACTTAAGTCCAATTGTTGATCCGGACCTGCGAACGTACACTTCGCGTAATACTTTCGTGGTTAAAAGTTGCGATCTGCCAGCTGGAGCCTTCTGAAAGTGTACTTCGCGCAACACATTCGTACTTTCAAGCTTCGATCTTCCTGCTGAAAGTGCATCTACTTTCATACTTGAAACTTGCGTTTTTCCAGCAAAAAGTGCACTTCGCATAATACTTTCTTGCTGTGACATCAGCCACACCGATCGGTCGCGCGCGCACATCCCAAATCGTAAAACCCGGTTTTTCGACATCGACCACTCCGATCCCCGTAGAAGGTGTCATTTTCGTGCGGTGGGTTCGGTCCTGCCGCACTGCCTCAAGAGACTCATTTTACTTTCGGGTCCACATGTCTCGTGCGAACTTTCTCGTCCAAGTTGGCTCGTGCAATTTGCTGCTCTTGCTGATTGCTCTGCATGTCCTCCTGTGCATCTTGGTCTGCACGTGCTGTCGTGCATCTTGCCCTGCATGTCCTGTCGCACATCTTGCTCTGCACGTGCTCTCGTGCGCGTGCTGTCGTGCCAATTGTCTGTGCGACAAGGCTGGCGATTTGACCGGAAGAGCCCTTCACAATGTCCTTCGGGAAAAACAAACAAACAAGGAAGCAAGCCAACAAACCGACACAAGCAAGAAGGCGAGAAAGCGAGCAAGCAAACAAAAAAAAGAACAAAAGAGAACTCAAGGAGAAAAAAGAAACGACAGAGAAGACAGAAAAGACAGAGTAGACAGAGTAGACAGAGAAGACAGAGAAGATAGGGAAGACAGAGAGGACAGAGAAGACAGAGAAGATAGGGAAGACAGAGAGGACAGAAAAGACAGAGAAGGTAAGGAGACAGAACACACCGAGAAGACAGAGGGAAGGAAGGAAGGAAGGAAGGAAGGAAGGAAGGAAGGAAGGAAGGCAGGAAGGAAGGCAGGAAGGAAGGAAGGAAGGAAGGAAGGACGGAAGGACGGAAGGACGGAAGGACGGAAGGAAGGACGGAAGGACGGAAGGACGGAAGGACGGAAGGACGGAAGGAACGAATCAACACATATAATTTGTGTAACGGCGCCTCATGTACACCAGGTCTAAGCATTTCTGTGAACATGAATTTAGGCGGGTCAGTGGATTATAAGCAACTTCGACCCAAATCAAAACAATAAATCAACCAATCAACAAATGGAACAAAGACGCTGACAAAGGACCAAAAAAAACACATTTTCACGAGCAAACAGCTTCAGACAACAAAACATGGCGCCGCCCTCCGCCCGCGTTCGCGGCCCCGACGTGTTGCTGAGCACCCGGGAGGGGAAGGCCGTAGGCACAGGCTCGCCGCTCTTGGCTTGGGGCAGCTGCGGGTCAACCTGGCGAGGTTCGAAGACCGGCAAGCAAGCGTCCCATGTCTTTTTGGTGGGCCCCGTTGCCACCCCCGTTTAAGGGAACGGCAAAGGGCAGGAGCGTCCAAAGGAGAAAGCCTGTCACTTTGAATGAGAGGCATCTAACAACTGTTGTTTGATTGTCCTTTGCCTGTAAACTGGGTCCATGGCGGCTAGTTGTTAGATCCCTTTTGCAAAAAAAAAAAACACTCGATGTTGCCACGGGGGAGGGCGTGTGCTTGGCACAGTTGCCCCGACACAGCAGGAAAAAAAAATGAAAAAAAAGGAAGAAAAAAAAAACGGAGCACTTCTCAGGGGGTTGATGGGTGTTTTGTGTTTTTTCTCCTGGTGGGTCCCTAACCCACCACAGAGAAAAAGGAAAAAGAGTGGAATCCACATCCTTGATGTGTGCAGACGCGCCTGACCCTCCACCAGCACGCCAGCCGTAGTGCCGTCCACCGTGTTGGCCCAGTACAGCCTGCAGCAAGCTGGCCACCCGGGGGTATCCAAACCAGGACTGGCCCCACAACTTCTTGCCACCAGAGTCACCTCCAAGTGATGGGCTTGGGGAAAGTGACCCCAGGTTCTGACTTTGATCACTGCTAGAAACAGCGAAATACTGCGCCTGGCCCTGTTTGAAAAAACGGCCTCCTGGTGGCTTCCCCTTCAAGCTCCCAAGTGCTTCTTGTTAAAATGTATTCCGCCCAACTCTTTAGCCAGAGCGCCAACCAAACAACAATGCACGGACGACAAATAACTCAGTTCCCCCCCCCCCCAACAACCAACAAGCCGACTGTTGGCGCTCTGGGGACCAACCCGCAACGAAGCCGAACCTTATTCCCCACTCTGCGGTTGCGTTTCTTCCCAAAGGGGAGGCCGTAGCGCCTCAATCAAAGGACACGTCTTCTCCTTTTAAGCGGAGGGTTCACTCCTTGGTATGGGCGCTGCCAAACGTCACCTCCCAGCATGTCGCTTGTCACAAGACTTCCAGCCTGGCACCATCGGACACTACGCCGCCCGGGGTGGTCACGTGGGGGTTCACGTTTCCTGGCAGCCAGGTCCTACACCCGACCGGACCTAACATGGAACCTGAGGTTCGTGGGGTCCTGGAAGATGATGTTCCTTTTAAAGGGACCCCCTGTCAGGTTCCATGTTAATTGGTGGGAGGGTATGTGCGAAGAGGTCAATTGTGCTTGGGCGGTGACCAACCAGGAAAGGGACAAGGCTGGTCCTCAAGTAGTCCGTCAAAAAGGTGAGATGGCTTCTCTCCGATTCAAGCCTAGGGACAAACGCTACCCGAAAAGCAACAAACAAATGGCCGACGCGGTGCCTAACCGGTGCCCCCCCCCCTCCCTCCCCGTGCCTTCGTAGACCGAGTAGACCTCGGCCGGAGCCCATGGCTTGCCGGGGGACCCCACGCCCCCGGGTCCCACAAGGACGCAAGCGCCCACGTGCAGAGGGGTGAGCAAATTTTGGGGCCCTCTCAAAGGCACAAGGCGGCTCCAGGGTCCAAACAGAACCAGGAGCCATATGTTTGTTCACAACCCCAATGTGCGCGCTTCAGTTTGGGGGCAAGGCAGGCCAGGATTCATAGCCCCGTCCAGTGCTTTATCCCGAGCGGATGGTCAGGAGGGCCCTGGGAACTGAGCGCCACGCCAGACCCCCTGTGGCTGGGGCCCCCGGGCATAGCGGGAGAGCGCCACGTTCGAGGTGGCCCCTCCGCCTCGAGACGAAAATTGGGGGGCCTTCGGGGAAGCGCCTTCTGCCCGGAATAGCGGGTATGGACCAAACACAGCACGACACACAGACACAAGACAAAACAAAGCTCTTGGAGGATGCAATGAGCTGGTCATGAGGTGAATTGCACCCAGAGTCCTCCCTCAAGCCCCAAAGTCGCTCCCTTGGGAAATCTTCTCATTTGGCTGCATTCGGGGTACAGCTGTTTCCGACACAAGCCATGAACCGACCTCGCGGAACCAAGGCTGTAGGGTCGAACCCGCTTTAGGGTCGAATCACTCCATGGGAGGTGGCGCCCCGTGTTCCTCCCCGGGCTGCCGGCCGCTTTCCAGAGTCTTCTCCGAGAGGAGCATCAAGTCGCCTGCGGAGGCTGGCGCTTTTTCCCCGCAAGTGGGTCATTGACAGGGGAAGTTTGTGGAGCAAAAGCACAAATAAACCAAAAATGAATCAACCCCCAGGTGGCACAAACCAAAAATGCATCAAAAAGCACAAACCAAAAATGCATCAACCTTTACATGGCTTCCTGACAGATCAACACAACAAACTCCTGAGGGCCCCCTCGATACTTCACGCAAACCCGGCCCCGGTCAAACTTGGGAGGGCCACTGGCCGCATACTGCCCCGTGGTGAGCTTCTCGATGACCTCCACCGGGATCCTCACGCTTCGCTTTGCCCGCGCGAGATCCAAGTGGCTGTAACGAGTTCAGCTTCCCAGTCGGTTTGGCTTGGTGGCTCGGAGCTCGAACCGAGTAGCTTCCCATTCACCCTCGGCAAGAAAACCAGCGGACTTTCCGAAGCCAATCCAAAGCACCTAATTGAGCATGACTTGAGTGGGGCCAACTAACTGGAACTGTAAGGTGCTGAACAGGTACCCCGATTTCTGCCCCATCTCATACGTATCCTGCCACCCCAGTCTAGGTATTCAGTGCTTAATTTATGGCAATGATGCTCGTGTCCATTCGGTTTCCTTTGAAAACCCAAGGGGTTCCTTTAGTTCCGATCCAAGGATTCTGGAAACGAGTCCGCGTTTGTGACAGGGTCACATGGAAGCCAAGCCACACTTGGCAGCCAGGCAGAGGGCGGGGCTCACCCTTTGCCCAGTTGTACAATACTGGCTTGATATGGGGGGCCCTCTACGGTATCTTCTGTAGAGCCTCCCCTTATTTCTAAACCAAGGCTTCATCCAGGTCGAGTTCTGCCTGGTTCCTACCAGCCTCTCAGCTCAAGCAAACCAAGTCGACTTTGGATTGGCGGCCAACCACCAATGACATTCATAGCGGGCCGCCTGTTGATTGTGTTGG